GAAGATTCAAAATTAGAATGATGTCCTGTCTATCCAAGCTGATCTACGGATATAATGCAATACCAAATGAAATTGCAATAGAATTTTTTTTTTTTTTGAGAGAAAGTGTCTTGCTCTGTTGCCCAGGCTGGAGTGCAGCGGTGTGATCATGGCTCACTGCAGCCTCAACCTGGGCTCAAGTGCCCACCACGGCCAGCTAATTTCAAATTTTGTTGTAGAAACTGTAGAGACGGGGTCTCCCTGTGTTGTCCTGGCTTGTCTTGAACTCCTGAGCACAGGCAATCATCCTGCCTTGGCCTCCCAAAGTGCTGGGATCACAGGCGTGAGCCACTGCATCCAGCCTGATTTTGCAAAATGGCAATTGACATTAAAAGTTCATTTTTAAGAGTTGATTTTTAAAATTTACATGTAAGTACAAATGGCCAAGCTCTTCCTAATTAAAAAAAAAAAAAAGAGTTGATGGACTCGGACTTGTAGGAATAAAGACTTATTAAAAGCAGGAAAATTATAATAAACAGAAATAGTGCAATGGTAGAAGGCCAAAGCAACAGAACTGGGACTCGAGGCCCCACACATGCCACTGCCTGCTCTGTGAAGAGAAGCATTGCAGGCCACAGAAGCCCCTTCCTGTATTCGCTCCTGGACAACGGGATACACATGCTGAAAGCCCTAAAGAAACTTCACCCTGCTTCACACCATAGCAGAAATAAATCCCAAGTGGATTATGGACAGAAACATGAAAAGTTAAAATAATAACATCTCTAGATGATAAAAAAAAAAAAGAACATGGCAAAGATTTCTTAAGAGGACTCAAGAAACAATGACATAAAGAAACAAATGTTAAATGAGCTCCATTAACATTAAGAGCTTCTGTTTATCCAAAGACCATGAAGAGAGCTTAAATCCAATCACAGAGCTGGAGACAAAATCCATAATACTCATACGTAGTGAAAGGCTCTAAGACTCCTAAATATCGACTTAAATAGAGGGAGAGACCAAATAGAAAAATAAGCAAACTCATTTTGAAATGGCACTTCAAAAAAAGCAAGATTTTGAAATGTATGAACTCATTTTCCACCAGGGAAATGAGGGAAATGTAAATTAAAACACCATTTTATGTTATTATAGACCCACAAGAGTGGCTGAAGGCTTAAAAATGGACAATACCAAATGGAGGCAAGCGTGTGGTACAAATGGAAGCCTCCTGCACTGTTGGTGGGTGTGTACACTGGTAACCACTTTGGAAATTACTTGGCAGCATTCATTTCTTTTTTATAAATTTATTTATTTTTAGTGGACACACGGTAACTGTACATATTTATGGGGTATACTTTGATGCTTTGATACATATCTATGTGGATAATGATCCCACCAAGCTATTAGCATATCTACAGTGTTTAGGAAGACTGACTCTACGTATAGCCTATGACCAGTAAATATAAAATGAACACAAATGTAAATATGTGTGTACATATACACACACACACCTAAAGTAACATGTGCATCTATCTGTGCATGAGATGATGACTAAGAATATAACAGCAGCATTATTTGTTATGCCTCAAACTGAGTAACCCATATGTCCATGAACAGTTGATTGGATAAATACATTATTTTTTTGAGTGGAATACTATACAGCAAGAAAATAAAACATGGTAACTACATGCAACAACATGGATGAACCTCCTTGCAAAATGCTGAGTGAAAGAATCCAGAGACCAGGAGTTCCTTTCGCATGATTCCGAGGTAACGTTTTCAAAAAGAGAGAAAAGTTGTCTCCGGTGCCAGAACTGTGAATAACGGCTGCTTTTCAGAAGGGAGGTGGGGTGGACACAGGGTGGCTGCTGGGTCCCTGGTGAGAGTCGTGCCCCACATCTTAATCTGGTGCTGTGTGCGCTTGGTAAACATGCGTTCTGAATGTGTACTGCATTAGCAAATGTTTATTTTAGCATATGTAACACTGCCACAGAGCCTTAGTAAGCAAAGAATTGTAAACACACTCTGAATTTTCTTGGTCTCTTGGGAGCAATTCCAAAGCTGCATGGCCACTGCACCAGGCTCACGCACCTGTGCTGCTCCCTCTGGCTTCTTTCCTCAACGCCCTTTCCTCAGAAGGCAAATGTCCCCCACCAGTGCCATTTCGCTTCCCACTGATTATCTCATTGGCTGCGTTTATCTCTCCAAATCACCTTTTTCCCTCTCTTATTTTCTTTTTCTCCTTCCCTCTCTCTCCCACCGTATGTGTTTCTGTGGAGTGGGGTTGGCACTCACAGCCATCGCTCAGAGATGAGCACGCTTTTGGTCCAGTTAGCAAGCCATCCAAACACACGTTTGCTGGGTTTCTCAGTGATATTCTTCATTACTCACTGTTCATTTTAAATTTTCACTTCCATGTGTGGATCTGCCAATGGGCAATGGAGGTAGCAGAAAGTGTGGCTTCTGGAAAGGGGGAGGACAGGAGTCTGCTCATTAGCAATGGTGGGAAAGGATTTTGGAGGCCACGTCCATCTGACAGAGACAGAGGTGCAGGCTGCAGTGATGAGAGCCTGGGTTGAAATCAAGGCTCTGCATGCACCAGCTCAGCAACCTGCAATGTCCAGTGACCTTCCTGGGGCTACACTCTCCACCTGGAGAAACTGGGTCAGTGTCAGTACTTACCTGATGATGCTAACATCTGTAAAGTACTTGGCATGGTGCATGGTAGCAGTTACAGCTGTCCCTCGGTGTCTACAGGGGATTGGGTCCAATCGCCCTCCCCCAACCTTGCCCCTTTACCCCATGCCAAAATCCATGAATGTGCAACTCCCACATTTGGCCCTTCAGGACCCACAGATACATGCAGCTGGCCCTCCGTATCTGCAGGCTTCTCATCCTGAATAGCCTATATTTCTGATCTGTGGTTGAATCTGTCGATAAAGAGGGCTGACCGTATTGAAAAACATTCTCAAAGAAGTGGACCATGCAGTTCAAACCTGTGTTGTTTGAGAAGCAACTGTGCTGTGGTCCCTGCTGGACTGACACGGACTGGAGCCGTCTCTGTCAGTCCCTGGGTCATAGGGGCAGCTGTCACCATAGGATGACTCCCCCACAAAGCTGGTCATGTATTTGTTGTGAGAGTCAACACTGCACTTTGGGACTTGTTCTAAGAAATAAGTAGCTCCATTTCCCGCGTATAAAGTAAGAACATGGCTACTGAAGGCTTTCTTGGCTTATGGGGCTATTTTCGAGAAGAAATGTTCAATGCCGGCAAAGCATTCTGCTTCCTGGGTATAATTACTGAGACAATGGATCACGTTATTTTTATAATTCAGACTTTAGAATCCACAGACTCTCACAGCTCTCAAGAAGTGGCACTGGACCCTGCTTCTGACAGAAGGACGTGGGATGAGCCCCAAGTCGAGAGATGCACACCAGCTCTGGATGCTTTTTCCTGCAAACATCACACACGTGGCCACCAGCAGAATGACATCCAACATAGACATGCACTTTTTTCAGCTCAGAAGTTCCACACGCAGGTAACTAAGGATGCCCACAGATGGAGGAGTGTGTTCTGTGTCCTAAAGGATCAGTGTTCATAGGCGGGATAATTCCCAATGCTCTTGGGTTGCCTAATTAAATATGTGAAGGAAATGGATGTGTATAAAAAATAAGGATTGTTCAATATAGGAAAATAAGATAAAATTTTCAGATTTAATTACCCTGGGTCAGCTTACCTCCTTAAAGTTTTCCTCTCTTTCTTCTCTTTAGCAACTTGAAAATTTAAACATATATAGTAAAATATTATACTCTGTAAAATATAGAGTATAATAGAACAAATATTAATATTGTACCAGCTTTTAAAAATAACTAGAATATGATAGGCCTTCCTCACACTTTTCAAAGTGCAGCCCTGTATTAAAGGTAGACTTATTGTTTCTGAGAATTACCAACCATAGTTGAGATGCCTGAACAATAAAAAGCATAACTCAATTACATTTGCTGGGTTTCTTAGCTGGATTCTCAACCACTCCTAACTTGTTTATTTTACTTCCAAGTATGGATCTCCTAATGGACTGTTGTTAGGGTCTAGAAACATTCCATTTGTTATATCATTGATTTTATCTGACATACTGGCAAACATTTGGATTACATTTTAGCAAAGAGAAATAAAATATGTAGTGATTGATACATAGAGTAAGCTGAATACCCTTCATTTTATTTAGTGCTAATGATATGTAAGGTAGATTTAATCCTAATTCACCAATGAGCTCTTCCTATAGAGAAACTACTGTTCTGGGACCAAAACCTCTACCCTCAACCAAAAGCAAACAATGATTTGATTGGTCAAATCATCTGTACAATGTCATCATTAGTTACCAAGAGACCCACTAAAGATGCAGGTGGGCAGGGGCCATCTCACCTCACTGCGAGGGAAGAGTGGGCAGCATTTAATAAGCCCTCATCACAGCCTCAAGTGCCATGCTAAGCCCTTCACATCTACCGACACATCAAGTTCTCACAACAGCCCTCTGAAGGGGGCTTCTTAGTCTCCACATGTTACAGAAGCACAGACAGGTTAAGTACTTTGTCCGAGGTCACACAGCTGCTAAGAGACTGACCCAGGATTTGAGCCCAGACAGTCTGACTCCACCTTCATGCTCTTAAACACATCGCAGCATCTCTAATAGAGCACCTACAGCCAAAACACAGAAGCTTCTGGATGGCAAGGGCGAGATCATATTTCTTCTGTATTTTCCATGCATTTGCATAATGGCTAAGTATTTAATAAATGATAGCTGAGCTGAATTCCTATCCAAGGTCAGCATTATGTCTTTACATAATAAATGCAGAGTATTTAAATAAAAATGTAAATGTTAACATCATATTTCACACCAGCATTCTCCAAGGGAGTCTTATTGGCTTAGCACACAGAGGGCTCCAGGCTGGGTGGCGCCTAGAAGCCCTAAATGGAAACTGCTTGTCTTGTATTCTTTGCAGAATTACTAATTTCTGCTCCTTACCTGAAGAGGCACAGAATTATGCTTCCTGTTGCAAGAGACATCAGAGAGACACTGTAGCCCAGGGTGTAAATGGCCTTCACCAGAATATAAAACGTGATCTACAAAGAAAGAAAATGGATCTGTAAGCTGAGGGTGACCAGCAGCACCAGACAACAGGAACGGTTCCAACATCCAGCCCTGAGCTCTGTCCATGAAGGACTCTTGCCTGCCTGGAAGGCATAAGACAGTCTCACTTTATAATTCCACCTCCATTTTGAATCAAAAAATGACCCCCACCTTTCAGAACCTCTACTTTTTTCTTATAATTCATCATGAATGACTTTGGATGGTTCCCGTAAAGCACCTCTGTCTGAAGGGAACATGACCCGCTACCATCAGGAAAAGCAAAGGAAGGAAGCGCTGAGCTAAGTTCAGAAAGAGAGCTCAGTCCGTCCCTGAGGCAGCACATCTAGCTTTCTGACACTTCTGGATGAGCTCAAGTGGACACACAGGTCTGAGTACATTAAACACTATGACCTACAGGCACGGGGTGAGGTGCTCCAGACAGAGGTACTTGCCTAAGCCAGAGCCAGCTGCTGAGCTGCAGTATCTTGGGAATTTTATTTCCTTAACATTTCTTGGTTTAGCAAGGTTCATGGCTTGATGCTTTTAATCTCCATGAAATCATCAGGCACAGGAGGGATTCATGATCATCACTGTGGCAAAATCACTGGGAGTTCTATGAAAACAGGGAATCCTATACAAAAAGAACTGGGTCCTCTAGAAGGAAAACCAGTGCTGGTCATGATAAAACCAGCAACACCTGCAGGGCATCGTCATAGCTCGCCACTCCCAAAGGCTGCTTCCTGGTCTGCATTTTCTTGATAAAGCTAATTCCTATAAAATAAAGAGGGAAACAATCCATGTGTGCTTACATGATGAATTTTATTTTTGCCAAGAGGTCCTAAGTAAGTACACCCGAACCTCACTGTTATTTTACAATACAAAATTCAAGGCAAAACTCAAAAAGTTATGTTCTTGTTTATTAGTCGGGCTCTTAATTATAACTTTACTGTTTAATCATTATTTAGAATGTATTAACCCATTTACTTTGCATTACAGGAATCTCTTCTTGGTAACCTCGGCCCTGCTTACTTAGGACAGCTCAGAAAAGAGCACAGAGTAGTCCTGGCCAGATCCCTCTTCCTTGCTATTCCTCATCCTTCCTGACTCCACTCATGAGAAGATGTCATTAACTACCACCTAACCACCCTCTCACGTCACCTAATTATCACATCACTTTACCCAACCACTACCCTCACCTCACCTAACCACAAGTCTTATCTAACCCATACTCCACCTAACCATGACCCTCACCTCATCTAACCACCATTCTCAACCATATTCACCTCATTTAGTCATAATTCTTACCTCACCTAACTGCCACCCTCACATCACCTAACAACCACTTTCATCTCACCTAACCACTCTCCTCAACTGCCACCTCACATCACCCAACAACCACTTCTCATCTCACCTAACCACTCTCCCCACCTTATCCAGCCACTCCTCAACCCATCCAACCATCACCACTGACCACTCATCCCCACTCCCACCAACCACTAACCTCACTCCCCACCTAATCACCACCTTCACCTCACCTCACCACCACCCCCTCACCCCCACCTAACCACCACTCCTGTTCCATCAACCATACCACTTCACCCACCACCACCCTCACCTCACCTAGCGCCACTCCCTTCACCCTCATCTAACCACCACCCTCACCCCACCCACTCCACAAGTCTCAACGACCATATCACTCAACCCAAGACCCCACCTCATCTAACCACCATTCTCAACTCCATCTAACCATCTCCTTCATCTAACCACCATCTCACTTCACCCAACAACTGAATTTCACTTCACCTAACCACTCTTCCTCTCACCCCCACCTAACCAGCACTCTAACTCATCTAACCTCCACTCACTTCACTTACTCACCATATTCACCTCTACTTAGCCATAACCTTTCCCCACCTAACTGCCACCCTCACATCACCCAACAACCACTTCTATCTCACCTAACCACTTCGCTCCTTATCTAGCCACTCACTCCTCAATCTGTCATCCAACCCATACTCACTTCACTTACCCACGACCCTCACCTCACGGAACCCATCTTCACCTCACCTAACCACTAACCTCACTTCACCTAACCACCACTCTGAACTCATCTAACCCATATTCCCTTCACCTAACCACAGACTGCACCTTACCTAACCCACACTCACCTCACCTATCAGCCACCCTCACATCATGTAACCACCACCTTCACTTTGTTGTGGAAAGCAGTTTGCTGATTTCTCAAAGAACTTAGAACTACCATTCAACCTGGCAATACCATTACTGGGTATAAACCCAAAGGAACAGAAATCATTCTACCAAAAAGACATGCCCAGCACAGCCCTATTCACAAAGCAAAGACATGGAATCAATACGTCCCCATCGACAGTGGACTGGACTGGTACATATAGAGCATGGAATACTATGCAGCCACAAAGACTGAAATCACATCCTTTGAAGCACCATGGAGGCAGCTGGAGACCATCATCCTAAGCCAATTAGCACAGAAACAGAAAACCAAATACCAAATGTTTTCATAAGTGGGAACAAAACATTGGGTACTCAGGGAGGAGAAACGGAGGGAGGGGGCAAGGGTTGAAAAACTAACTGTTGGGTACTATGCTCTGTACTTGGGTGGCGGGACCAGTCAGACCGCAAACCTTAGCATCATGAAATATGTCCAGGTAACAAGCCTGCACATGTGCCCCACGAATCTAAAATAAAAGTTGGAAAAAAAAAAAAAAAAAGGCTGGGCTTGGTGGTTCACACCTGCAATCCCAGCACTTTGGGAAACCGAGGTGGGAGGATTGCTTGCTCCCAGGAATTTGAGGCCAGCCTGGGCAACAGAATGAGACCCTCGTCTCTAAAAAAATAGAAAAATAATTAGCTGGGTGTGGTGGCCTGTGCCTGTGGTCCTCAGCTACTGGGGAGGCTGAGGTGGGAGGATCGCCTGAGCCGGGAAGGTGGAGGCTGCCTGAGCTGTGATCGCGCCACTGCCCTCCAGCCTGGGTGACACAGCAAGGACCTGACGCAAAAAAAAAAAAAAGAAAAAAGGATAAAAGTGAAAAATAATCCATTCTTCCACTCTTTCTCTCATTCAACCGGCGCCCACCAGGGTTGAGAACGTGTGAGAAGCCGACAGCAGGAATGGCGGCCTTGGGGGTCTCACACTCAGCGGGAGGGCGAGCCGGGCGGAGTCCCAGCCGGGTGGAGTCCCGGGTCAAGCGCGGCGCGCGGCTGTGCGGAGAAGCCAGGCCGGGTCGGACGCGCTGCAGCGGGAGGCGCAACGGCTCTGGGGCCCCCGTGGGAGGGAGCGGCGGCCGCGTCAGGAGCGGATGATGGCGGGAGGCCGGGAAGCCTGGAGCCTCTAGAGGAGCCCAGTCCTGAGGAGCCTGGTCTTGGGGAGCCGGGTCCTGAGGGCCCTGCAGGGGGCGAGGTGTGGGGTCTTCCGGCGGCGGTGCGGCCATGGGGCGCCGGCGGGTGTGAAGCAGGCGAGAACGGGTCAGATCCCAACAGTGACTTGATGGCGGGGCCCGCGGGCCTTCCCGACGGAGATGGGAGGAAAACAGGGCGAGGACGCCCCAAGGCTTCAGCCCGAGCCCCGACAAACGGCAGCCTCAGCGGCCGGAAGGTGGGAGAGCAGCGCCAGCCTCGGGCTCGGGTCTGGGGGTCCTGGCGGTATCTGGGGTTCCTGGCGGGTCTGAGGGCCTCGCGGGATCTGGGGGGCCTGGTGGGGTTTGTGGGTCCTGGCGGGATGTGGGGCTCTGGTGGGATCTGGGTGGCCTGGCGGGGCCCGGGGGGCGCGGAGCACCAGGTGCCCACACCCTGCTGGGGTTCAACAGGAAGGTCTGGGCCAGAGGCGTCCCCTGAGGCTTCTTCAGGCTGAGGCAGCACTGAGGCCCGGCAGCACTGAGCCCCCTGCAGCACTGAGGCCGCGGCCATTCACAAGAAATTCAGTGACAAAAACGCCTCAAGTGATTCTGGACTGAGGAGCCGCGCCCGGCGTGGGTGGGCGCGGAGGGAGCAGAAAGGAGGCGATGCGGCTTCTGAGGTGGGGGAGGGGCGGCCCCACGCGCAGGGCCCGGAGGGCGCCTTCTTCCCGCGTCTCCCCGGAGGCCGGAGGGCGCCTTCTTCCCGCGTCTCCCTCTGGGCCAGAGGCCCCCTGAGGCTTCTTCAGGCTGAGGCAGCACTGAGGCTCCGGCAGCACTGAGCCCCCAGCACTGAGGTCACATTCACAAGAAATTCAGGACAAAAATCGGCCAAGTGATTCTGGATTTCGAGGAGTTACAGCCCGGCAGTGGGTGGGGCGCGGGAGGGAGGTGAAAGGAGGAGTGCGGCTTCTGAGGTGGGGGGGAGGGGCGCCCCCACGCGCAGGGGGCCCGGAGGGCGCTCTTCCGCGTCTTCGGAGGCCGAGGCTTCTTCCCGCGTCTCGGAGGCCGTGGAGGGCTTTTCCTGCGCTCCCGCGTCTCCCCGGAGGCCGGAGGGCGCCTTCTTCCCGCGTCTCCCAGGAGGCCGGAGGGCGCCTTCTTCCCGCGTCTCCCAGGAGGCCGGAGGGCGCCTTCTTCCCGCGTCTGCGAGGAGGCCGGAGGGCGCCTTCTTCCCGCGCGTCTCCCCGGAGGCCGGAGGGCGCCTTCTTCCCGCGTTTCACAGGAGGCCGGGTCCCCTGTCCCGAAGCCGCTGGGGCCTGGCTGAGGCGACCCTGCACCTGGGCCCAGTGGGCTCCAGCGGGTCCACGGAGGACCCCCGGCTGCCCCTCTGTGCAGAGCCCTCCGGGACGGACCGTGGCAGGAAGAGACGGAGACCGAGTGGACTCGGCGGCTCCTGAGTCAGCAGCGCCCGGGTTCGTTATGAGTGAGGATTCCGGCGGGGTGAAAATGGTCGAGACCAGAATTGTGGTCTCAAGTGGGGGCGCCGAGCTGGGTGTTGCGCTGAAGGTGGCGGCAGCCACCCGCTGTCGGGCGGGGCTTCGAGGTCGGCAGCAGCGGGAGCGCAG